GCGGTTAGAGACTTTTAACATTTATCAATTGTGGAGAGGCTTAAAGTATAATTTAGAGGTTAGAGTACCTCAGTATTATTTTTAAGTTAAAGACACTTAATTTTGAGAGTTTTGAAGGAAGGATAAGATAAGGGATACTACATGAAAATGCACATGTAAGTTATATTTAAAGGTAATTTGGGTTGTATTTTTGCCTCGACTTGAATTATGTTCATAAAGTATTAGTTAAACATGGTCACCAGACATGGTCAGAGTCTTTTCAGAAATACTACTGGAGAAGAAATTAATTTACCCTTGACATAAGAATTCACTTACAGTAAGTTTAGTTCCTTTTAAAAATGTAAATGAAGCTTATTCCCACCTGAGGTGTTTAAAAGCTGGCTGTGTCATGGGTTTGTGGGCAAGACAAGACACAGGCTGGGAATAGCTTAGCAGTGCCTGAGTGCACTGCAGAGCATCCATCTCAGCAAGTGGGGAGTGTCAGTGGTAGTAAGCAGGTGCAGGCACGGAGTGGTCCTTGCATAAAACCTCTTACCTGGGCTGTTCTGGATCACCAGGGTTGTGTGAAGGGGGAATGCGAGAAGGTGCACAGTGACAGGCGTAGAATGTGGGAGGGCAGAACTCTCCAAGCATTTTCCAAAAACCCTAAATATGGTAATCAATGGAGAGTTGAGAGGAATTTTAAGGTTCAACAAAAGAGAAAGCCCTATCAATCAGCAGTGTTCTAAATATCTTACTTAAAAGGACAGAGATATATTAAGCGTTAAGAAAATTCTGGCTTAAAATTGATCCCAAAAATAATTTTAAGCCCCAGAAGCCAAAAGTCTTAACAGCTAAATATATTGGTTTTGAACTCTTGTTATCTTATGTACCTTGTACATTGTGGTATAGTAAGTTGTTTATTTAAGTATCTCACTTGAGAAAAGGGAGCATATTTAGTGGTTCTTCCACCCCATGATCTGTTGTGGTGCTCAGTATGTTGCACACTCTCAATGAGTATGTATATGAGGATAGCCTCTCTTTCTTTGTGACTTCAAATCTAAATAATTTCAATCTTAGAGAATAGATATAGAAACTCATTTTTTGCTAGTCCTGAGACAAAAGCATGAAGAATAATACTTTAGTCACTTCCTGTTATGTATATTAGGCAATTCCCATGAAAGGCTTCTTGTTTAATGTACTGCTCCCTGCTGTAAGATCTGCTGCCTTTTGCATTGTCACGGTAGACTAGAACTCTCTCCTCATCCCACCATACCTTCTTTCCCCAGGTTTTCTGAGCAGTGCAGGAACCTTGTGTGATTGTCTCTGTGGTAGCTATGTACCTATATCCAGCATTCATGCATTTTATCCATCCCTGCCCTTACTGAAGAGCCTTCAGGCCCACAGCACCAAGCCCTAGTCAGGGTCCCTGCAGTCCTAGATTCATTGCTTTGACCCAGCCCTGCCCATTGCAGCTTTCTATGACAATGGAAATGTTCTGTGTCTACCCTTTCCAATTGAGTAGCTACTAGTCACATGGGGCTGCTGATCACTCGAAATGTAACTAATGCAGTGGGGAACATACATTTTAATTTAATTATAACTAATTTATGTATAAATAGCTACATATAGTTAGTGGCAATACCGCTCTAATATTAATATCCTGTTGTGTGTATGAGTTCAAAAAATTCCTATGAACTGATGTGGAAATCTAATAAACTGATGCTTGGGTTTGGGAATTGGGGTCTGGCAGTATTCTAAAAGCTTCATGTGAGCTAGTTTTTTAATCACATGATTTTCCTTTGACATTTAACGCTATAGTAAACAACTATCTTACAATAAAGACCAGTAGTTATATCTTGTTTATGATATGTAAGTTGTATTTGTCGTTTCATTCACATATAGGGCAGTTGTGTAGAGTTTGGGCTCAAGGAAGTTTTATGCCACTTGAGGCAAAACTATTGCAGATTACAGTGCTCTTCGCAAACCAACGCTAGACACGCAGAGTGAGGAGAGAAGCGACCTCATATTAAAAATGGGACAGCCTGCATGTCCCTGCCTGGCTTCCTAAGAGAGGGTTTAAATATAGATATCTATAATAGGCTCTCCCTAAAAACTTTGAGCATAATACCTTTAGGTGCTTCTCAGAGTCCTGTACCACAAAGCCTAAAGTAGTTTGACTTCCTGATTAAGTTAGAATGTTAAAGGCAATATTTTCCCATGATCTTATGTACTCGAGCCTCATTTTTATTTTCTCAATTGCCAGGTATCTAAAAAGTTCTAATATATAGACAAATATTATAGATTCAATATTACTCAAAAGTAGTTTTTAAAAAAGTAAACTGCACATATGATAAGCATTGGCCTTAAGATTTGTTTTTAATGGAGTTGAAGGTTCACCTTTGAAATAAAACAACACTACATACTACTTTATTTTCACAGGGAAATGTGCTCTCTGTTGTTTCTCTTGAAACATATAAGCCTCTTGGTCCATCTTTAATTTTTCCATTTGTAACAAATTAGTATGATAAACTCTTTACTTTTTGCCTGGCTCTGAGAAACATTGATGTGTAACTGGGTTAACTTCTAGCAGTTGACAGCCTCACAGTTGAAAAGAGGACATTCTCTGCCCTGGTCTTCTCTTCAACCAAAGACTAACATGGCCACCACCCTCCTTGAATCCCTACCATGAGGGTACTTATACCTTGCCCAGCCTCATGTGTCTAAAACAGAACTGTTGGTGCCCACCCACCTTCCCTTTCTCGCTGCATGGCTTCAGCATTCCCTTTGCCATCTTTGGCTCCTCTTTCCTTTCCACCTCATATCCAGTCATTCACCCCCGTTGGCTCTGTGTCTTCAGTAGCTGCTGAATCTCACCTCCTCTGCTGCCTACCAGCAAACCTCAGATCAGGTCATGCCTCCCTCTGCACTAAACACTGGGACAGAAGGCATATGAACCAAAAGCTCTCTGTACAAGAGGGGTTTCTAAGGCATTTCCAGAGGAAAGGAAACTGTACCCTTAGAGTTCTAGGGACTTTGTGAAAAACAGTCTTATTTAATCCTCAGCACCACTGTCTGCAGTAGAGTTGGCATCCCCATTTTACAAGTAGATAGTCTGAGGTTCACAAGTGTTAATTGCCATATTTCCCCCCACCCCCAAGAGAGGCAAGATTCAAATCAAGAACTCTCTTTATTAAAAAGTAAGTGGTAGCCGGGCTCGGTGGCTCAGCCTGTAATCCCGCACCTTGGAAGGCTGAGGTGAGTGGATTGCCTGAGCCCGCGGGTTCAAGACCTGCCTGGGCAACCTGGCAAGACCTCATCTCTACAATAAATCCAAAATTAGCCAGGTGTGGTAGCGCGTGCCTGTAATTCCAGCTACTTGGAAGACTGAGGTGGAAGGATCACTGGAGCCTAGCAGGTCGAGGCTGCAGTGGCCGGGAGCGGCCACTGCACTCCGGTCTGGACGACAGAGTGAGACTTCAACTCAAAAAATAAATAAATAAATAAATAAAAATAAATAAAAGTGTTTTTTCTTATAGAATAGTTGCCTGAAAAGGTAGATAGGGAAGAAATAATGCCTTATATGTTTTTCTTTTATGTACTTACTTTGCTACTTCCCAGTAGTGATTAGCATCAAAATTCTTGAAATGCAAAGACCCTGTGTTTTTAGGAGGCAACTTGAAAAGGAAGAACTTAGTTTTCCCTCTTCGTAAACAATATTCAAAGTAGAAAATGGTGGTTTTTTAAAGATAAGGAAGGAGAGTTACAAATGAAAGTGATTAGAGAGGAATGGAAAACCAGGAGTTAAATGAATTAATTGATGGGTAAAACCAAAACTGTATGTCATAGAAGCAGTATGTCAGAGAGAGGTATAGGATGTAGCGAACATAATAATAACAGAATATAAAAGAATAAGAACTGAGACCAGTTTGGAATTTAGCAAAGAGGAGTTCATTGGTGCTACCTAGTAGCTAGATTATAGAATAAGGGTTTTAAATGTTTGGGTCTAAGGCAAACCATATAAACTTTGGCATGATGTGTTTTTGGTTATAATGCTAGCTTAGTTATGGATAGAGTCATCTCGTTGTTTGATACTTTATATTCAGTTTGTTGTTTCCTTATGTGATTCTGAAAAAACACCTGTATTTCACTTTTCTCCTTTGTCCTTTTATATTTTTTATGTCTCCTGACATTCCTTCATGTTGTTAGAGGCATTATTTAATTTTACTAGCACACAAGTGCCATCTAGTGGCCAGAACATCTGGCTTGCTTAATACACAAAGAACATAGACAAGAATCAGCTATTCTTTCCAACGTGTTTTCTTGATCAGAGTGTTTTGAGGTTCTTTATAATACCGATCAATTTAATTTAGTAACCTGGCTTAAAGAGAGTTGCTGGGGTTTCTGGTATATCCACACATTCAGCCTTTTGGCCTGGGGCAAATCACTTAATTTCTTTCTTTTTTTAATGATGTGAAACTGAGATGATAAGCCATTATTAGGAGAATGTGTCCCTTAATCAGAAAAAAATCTGCTTTTAAAAATAATCAACTTTTAGGATAAATCCAAGGAATTTATATATTTTTTAAAACTTCCAAGGTATATCCTGAATGTTTTCCTAATAAGGCCAGCTGCTTTCTCTACAAATATAGTATTAACCAGTTGAAACTGTTTTTTATAAGGATAAACTTCAAGCAATACCTGTAAAAGAACAGTTTTCTTATACGTTGTAATTTGCAAAGTGACAATATTTTGAAAGGGTTTTCAACAATAAGTTTAAAAATCCAAAAGAATTTTTACTTAAGGCAACTTGTATTCATTTTTTTGGGTACATATCTGGAAAGTAATTTGTCCCTCCTTTCCTGTGACTATTCTGGTAAATTGGAGCATTATTATACTTGTTTCCTTCCTAATAGTATGTGGAAGGATAAATAATTTACAGTGCTTTTATGTTCTTGTATGTCATTATATTAATTGATTTGGTGGTGTTATTTGTTAATACACTTCTTTTTATATTTCAGAAAAGATGTTGGTTTAAAGCGATTTTTTCCTAAGAGTTTACTGGATTCTGTCAAGGTAATTAGAGTCTCCTTTATCATAATTAAATAACTAAAATATGCCGATACCTTTTCCCCAATGATAAATTGCTTTTGGGAAAGTAAAAGTAGTTTTTCCCCCTTCCAGGTAAAAGCAATAATGTAAAACTCACATTTATTCTAGTCATATTAATGGCAAGTAGGTCTTTATAGATATACCTGTCTCCCACAAAACCATGGTTTCACTTCCTGGTTGTGTGTAATATTCAGTTAAGTACAAAACTAAAAAAGGTACATGCTCAGTTGTCCCTGTCACCTAGGTCTTTACAATCTCAGGTATCTTGACATGCAGAAGAAAAGGAGCAATATCTGTAAGAATCATGGTGGTAGAATCTTACATATTGGGTGTGTGTATGCATATCAGTGCATCATGAAGGTCTGACTTTTGCTTCAACGATGTGGATGCTTCTCCACACTAGTAACTTTGGCAGTGCCTCAGTGCTTATTCCTACCTGTAGTTCCAACTCCAGCAGAGGGGTGGGGTGGGAATCTGGAGTGTAGTTCCTCTAGCCAATCCAGAGCCCACGTCAAGGTGTTCCAGTGCAGCAGGGGACACAGACTTTGGGGTTAAGATGGAAACCAGCTCAGATGAGTGCTGCTGTTTGGTAGCCTCGTGGTCTTGGGCTTGGTTTCTTTTTACCACATTGAAAAAATAATATTTTGTAGGGTTTGTGTGAATATTTAACAGATTAATATGCTCATATATATTATTTACTACAATACCTGTCACATAGCAACTCATCAACATGGCTGTTGCTGCTCTTTTTATTATTGCAGCGGTCATGTTCTACATCTTGTCAACTGAGACCCAAGCAGGATGAGGGATGTGTTATGAGAGAATGTAGCGTGATGGTTCAGAAAACTGACTCTATAGCCAGCTGCCCTGGTGAAAATCCAAGTTGACCTCATCAACTTGAATTGCATGTGACTTTGGACAAGTTATTTAATCTTTTTGTATTTTAGTTTCCATATCTGTTAGATGGGGATAAGACCAGTTTCCTTTTTTTTTCCCTCCCTTATTTTTTATTTTAAAGATATGGGGTACAATTAAGGGTTAGGTATATAAGTGGTCATTGTGCAGGTAAAGTTTGGGTACCCTTATTGATGTTAATGTGACCCCCTTCCCTCCCATGGCAGGGTCCCATTACTGCCAATCCTTGTCTTATAGTATTATGCTAAATGTTCAGGGTCTGCTTATGAATGAGTAAATGTAGTACTCAGATCTTTGTGATAAATTACTGAGTGTTATAGACCCTAATTCCATCCAAGTTGCTGCAAAGTTCATAATTTTGTTTTTCCTTTATGGGGGCATAGTATTCCATCTTGTAAATGTACCACATTTTCTTTATTCAGTGCACTTTTGATGGGCAGCACAGTTGGTTCCATGTTTTTGCTATTGTAAATAATGCTGTGACCAGTTTCTAACACATGAGATTCATATTAGGATTAAATGGGTTAATATGTTTAAAATCTTAGAACAACAAACAGAAAGAACTCAGTAAATGTTATCTAGTATGCAGGGGATGAGCCTCATCCTTATTATCACTAAGAATAAAATGCAGAATTCTGCAGTTTTTGTTGAGTAGATTAAGACACATTTCCACACAAGAGTTTCTTGGCAGTTTTGCTGTTGTCTATTCTCTTTGTGTAGTCAACTCTGTTCTACTGATTATCATTGGGTCACGATGTTTGGTATAATTTATTGAATGCAGTCTGTGACAAAAGCTCTGTGTGCACACATCTGGGTCCTGCTCACTGTCAAACCCATTAAGAAAAAGACTGTAAAGACTAGTTACTGTTTCCCCTTGAATCCAGAAAGTAACAGTATCCATCCTTTCTCACGTAGCTTCTTGATAATCTAACGGGAAAAAATAGATATAAAATGTTGGTTTTAAAGCGTAAAACATTCTATAAATGCAAAAAGATACACCTGTAAGAATAGTAGAGGAAAAGTGCACTCTTTTTAAATATTTTAGACTCTTTCTAGTGATGCTATTCTTTTTAAATATTCATTCAAGTTTTCTGATCTATTAATGAGCTACTACACTGCATTATTGGGTTAGTGTGGTAGAAGCTAGGAGTAGAGAGATGAGGAGAAAAATTTCTCACACTATAAGTAGCCCACAAAACGTTGGCATTAGTGGGTTAAGATTTGGCAATCAAAGGACAGAGAACTTTAAATGAAGTTTGGCTAAGTGGGAGGGGAACAAGAGAATGGCAGAATGGGAGGGATATTAGGAGTGGTTTGGTGATACTTCTGAAGTTGGGAGAATGAAGACACCATTTGACCAGGAATGTTTTTGGTGTGGGAACCAAGAAGGCATGGAAAGATCCCTGATAGGAAGGAATACTGCTGTGCATAAATCTGCTAGGTTGTGGGATGAGGTGGAGGATAATGAAAACATTCAAGCAAATGTAAGCCATGGTTTTAGTGAATTTACATTGCTGTTGAATGGAAGGTATTCTGGCCAATATTCAGTCAGTACTGGCTATATCACATTAGTAGTATTGATCAGTGGTTTTCAAATATGAGGCTGTTGGTGGCCTCAGAATTATATTGCAAGATCTCTTCAAATCTATGTGTATATATACAGTTATTATAAGAAGTTTGTTTTATTTGTGAGTCCAAGACATTATTCTCAATTATAAAAGGTTCCTCTTATTCAAAACAGGGAACACAGGTACAGGTCACAGATGTCATTGTGTGTATAGCCTTTTAAAGTGAGATAGATACCCAACGAGGTCAATGGAAGACTGACCCTGTCCCCTCTGTGCTCCTCCATGACTGGCTCTTCTAAATGTCTTTCAGGGTTTTCTCTCCAAGTCTTTCCTTTCCACCCTAAGTAAAAACGGCAAATGTTCTTTTGTATTCTTCAGACCTTGATCAGTTCTTAAGTTTTAATGGTATTGCCTCAATTTTTAATTACATAATTTACTTGTTTGTGTTTTCTTTGCTTTTATCCATTGTTCTAAGATTTTATGAGAGAAAATATAATATCTGTTGCATTCTTTACTCTATACCTGGTGTCTGGCATAGTAGCTGGCACATAGCAATATTTGATGCATCTGGCTAGGCACAGTGGCTCACACCTATAATCCCAGCACTTTGGGAAGCCAAAGTGGGAAGATCGCATCAGTCCAAGAATTGGAGACCAGCCTCAACATAACAAGACCTCATTTGTACAAAAAAAGAAAAAGAAAATAAAAATACTGAACATGATATCACATGCCTGTTGTCTTAGCTCCTAGGGAGGCTAAGGCAGGAAGATTGAGCCCAGAAGTTGAAGGATGCCGTAAACCAAGATTGCACCATTGTTCTTCAGCCTGGGCGAGAGTCCTGTCTCTTAAAAACAAAAACCAAAAAATACCTGTAAATCTTATTTAAATGAAAGAAAGAATAACTTTTTCTTTTTGAGTTGGTGTCTCACTCTTTTGCCCAGTCTGGCATGCAATGGCACACTCACGGCCACTGCAGCCTCAGCCTTCTAAGTAGCTAGAACTACAGGTGTGCACCACCATGCCCGGCTAATTTTTTAATTTATTGTAGAGATGAGGTCTCACCAAGTTGCCCAGGCTGATTTTGAACCGGTGAGCTCAGGCAATCCTCTCTCCTCTGCCTCCCAAAGTGCTGGAATTATAGGCGTGAGCCACTGCACCTGGCCAAGAATGAATAACTTTAACAGCAACTTAAAAGATGAATAAAATTAGGGGAGACACTTTCTGGGTAGTGGGTGCAATGTGGAAAAAAAGGCATGAAGATAGGATAAAGTAAGATTCTTCAGAAGATGGAATAGAAAAGCTAGAGAAGTTTCTTTCCCTGGGCTTGTCTGCTCTGCTGTTGTCACCACTCCCAGAAGAGACCCCCTCCCCTGCACAGGATCTGTTTCTCAGGGTGTCTTTCCAGGCTCTCCTTGGATTCATCCTACTTGGTTGGCTTCCCTTGTTCTGGCATTTGCTGCTGACTCTCATGTGCTGTTTTCTGCCTTCTTGAGCCCCACCTGGCAGTCAGGTGAGCCCTATCTGTTTCTAGATTGACTCTCCAGGGAGCAGAGCTCAGGGATTTTGGCTGAGTAGAGTCAGTATGTGATCACTGTGGGCAGTCACTTCGTATGGGCTTAAATATTGAGATAAGAGGAATTTAGGGGAATTGGGGGCTCACTGTAAATTTTTACAGCGAGAGAGACGGCATCACCTTTTGGATTTTGGAATATAAATCTGACAACCACATGGAACATAGATTAAAAGCAAAAATACTAAAACCAAGAATACTTGGGAGGTGATTAAAATTGATGAGATGTGCAGTGATCACGACCTGGATGGAATGACTTCCCTAAGAGTGGAAGGAATGATTAGGGGAACTTGAGAAAAAAAATTTTTTTTGAGTTGAGATCTCACTGTTGCCAGGCTAGCATGCAGTGGCATGATCATGGCTCACCACATCCTTGAGCTCCTGGGCTCAGGGATCCTTCCGCATCAGCCTCTGGAGTTGCTGGGACTACAGGTGCCACCACGACACCAACTGATTTTTAAAATTTTTTTGTAGAGATGAGGTCTCATGATGGTGCCCAGTCTGGTCTTGAACTCCTGGACTCAAGCAATCCTCCCACCTTAGCTTCCCAAAGTGTTGAGGTTACAGGCATGAGCCACTATGCTTGATCCGAGAAAACTTTTTACAAATCAGTGCTGCTGATTTTGTTGTAAATAGAATTAAGTTTTAGCTACTGTTAGCTAGGGATTCATCAGATTCATGGAGTGGCTCTTAAATAAGGTTCTTAGAACTGATTTCTCACATGCCCTTTTTAATAAAAAAGGGAATCACTGTAACTTTATTAACCAAATCTTGTATGTTTGACTTCTAAAGTAGCTTAATTAGGAATTCATATCATTGGACCAAGATTTCTTCACCTATTACATAAATTCTTTCGAGACTGCATTGATTGTCATTAAACAACTATGGGATATGGTACTGATATATGCCCA